ACTATAGAAAGATTTAAAGCTGGGCGAGAGATAGCAGGTCCAAAATATTTTGTTTTGAAGCCCTCAGTGGTTTGGGTACTTGAAGGATTATCTTTGGCCAAATTAACTATAGAGAATGTATGGTCTTTGATGTAGAGCCTAGGTGCTCCTGGGTTAACAGATTGATTCTGTGCCATCAAGAGATTAAGTTCAGAGAATAGGTGACCAGAAAGGAAAACCTTTTCAGCAGAAGTGCTCCAGTGATAGAACATTGAGGCACAAATGTTTTCATATGATTAAAGGAGGATTATAACATATTTATTCTGCAATGCTTTCCAGGAGTGGTTGACGTTGATTATAATGATTTGCTTTCCCCCTTTTTCGTCTCTAGTTTTGACTGATGTTACATTTTCACTAATATAAGTTTATACTGACAGGTTTCATTATGTTTGATTGCCTTCTTACAGAAAGGCAGTAGACATATATTTAAAATAAATTTGAAATAATTCAGAAAATGAGTAGGAAAAAGTTGCATCTTTTTGTGATACTGTATCACAGAAAAAGATAAAATTTCCACATTTCTCACTGGTTGAATCTTGCTAGATGTATATGATAATACAGGTGGGGGGGGGTTGCAAATGGGGCTGTCATTTCTTTTTCTCACAGTGGCACAGCAGTGACACAGGGGCATCATGGAAAGGGGGGAAATCTAGATTTTTTTTTCAGATCTTCTGTTTCCATTTGTGGGATCCAGCTTTTTAAAAAAGTACAGTATGTATGAGAATTGTGCTGTTATTTAGAAGTTTATTTGCAGTTGATGACTGCAGTTTGTTCACCTCTGAATTTCAACTTTGGGGTAGTGGAAACTGCAAAAAATGAGCTGGGGAAAATACATATTGTCATTCTGTGCCTCTGCTTTAAAGGATTGTGTAAATAATAATACCGCTATCACACAACTGTGTATTAGGGACTGCAAAGAACAGTTTCAGGCACGAATCCTCAACCAGCATTAGGAGAAATACCCAATAGATAGATGAATTTGAAATAACTGGCTGGGATACAACAGGTGTAATAGATATTATACTAGCAGCAAAGTGCTTTTGAAGTATTTAAGAAAATAATGGTTTGTTCTAGACACAATTTTGTAGAGTTCTTGGCGTTCTCTGAGCTTGGTTGTTTGCTTGCAGACATTTCATTACCCAACTAGGTAACAACTTACCCTAGTTGGGTAATGAGACATCTGCAAGTAAACAACCAAGCTCAGAGAGTGCCAAGAACTCCACAGTTCAACCCTGAGCTATGTATATTTTCTTCTATGGGAAAAACATAATTTTACTGAGTTATTACTGAAGGTGTGTTATTGTTCAATAGCTCTAAAGATGCCCTTAAGTGGAGCTCATGGCCTCAGGGACACATCCATGCAGCATTTTTAGCAACAAAAGAGAAGTGGTTTCCATGTCCTCCTTCTGATCCCCCCCCCCCAATTTCCCAATTTAGCCAGTCTCCCCAAGTATTAAGCAGGCCCTGCTTAGACTTTCCAAATCAGCCTGACTAAAACATATCTAGTCATCTAAAGAAGATTTCTCAGCCTGGTGTTCTCTACTGGGTGTGATGGCTAGGGGTCACAGGAGTTGGCCCCCCGTATCTGAAGGGCTTCAGGCTGGAGGAATGATGGCTTGGTTTGCTGGTTTATAGAGTGCAAAAGCACAAAATAGAGCAAAGTACCAGATCCATTTGCTTAAACATTAAGTATTTAAGTTTCTTTTTTAGAGTTTAACTAGACA